CGATCGTACTGTTCAACTTATCTAGACTCCGATCACGCATTGGTTCTTGCTAAGATTTGCATGCGTTTCGGAGGCTCACCCAAGCGCGTTCAATATCAACCGGACGTCGCTAATCTACAAACCCCTGAGATTTTAACCAGGTACCATGCCCCATTGGCAACATTGCTTGGCTTAATTATTGGCGGTGACTTCGATTCGCAATGGACGCGGACCAAAGATGCCTTAGTTCCCGCCAGTATCGACACATGTAGAAATGCCTGTTACCCACCGAAGTATTGGATTTCCGCCATCGCCTTGTCACTGATGGACAAATGCCGCTTGATCCAGTCGGATTCCAGCCACAGTGAAGAACACCATTTTCTGGGTAGAGAGTTGCACAGGAGATTGCAAGTGGACCACGAAGCTTAGTGATGTGAACGTGCTATGGAGTTGGAGTTTGCTAGTCTCTCTGATAACACCAGAAAACTTTTCCATCTCAATCGAGTCACCGAAGGTGTTTTATCTGGTATAAGTGAAATAATATGCGAGGAGAATGGCGCCTTAATCATCAACCTTCGACGACGGTTGGAGCGACGGGACGAACATTTTGGCTCGCACTTTGGTTGGCCCCCAGCTCCATCTGCTATCTTTGGCGCACGCAGTAGTGCGGAGTGGTCTACGCCCACAAATCCTGCCTCTCACCGGGAAATCGAGCATGAGCAGCGCCACCGGTAACGTTATTATAACGTTGGCCATGATGGTCTTCAAGCAACCCTATTTAAAGATGGTTGCGCTTCGCTGGTTCGAGAGCTCACTACTATGTTCTCGAAATTTTGATTGAAAGAGTAAGGTAGTCGAGTAGTTGATTTGGATTATGCTGATGATATCGTCTTGCTGGGTGACGATTCACACACCATCTAACTTGCACTAAACCGCTTGGCGATTGAAGCTTCAAAGTTTGGTAGGTACTTTTCACCATCCAAATGCAAGTTTCTCTTTCAAGACTGGCAGGTGCCTGTGCCTGCACTCACTCATGGTGGTAAGCCACTGGAGGTTGCGGAGAGCTTTGTCTACTTGGGAAGTTGCATCACTGCTGGTGGGGCTGTTGAAGACGAGATTTTGATGCGAAATTCAAGTGCGCGCCTCGCTGAGATACTTGTGGTTCTGCCACGACATTTGTCTCTCCATCAGAGGGCGGGTCTATTGTACAACTGTTCGTGTTGTACTGTTGTACGGATGCGAGACCTGGCCCATTCATAAAGGGGACTTGCACAGACTATCCGTCTTCGAGCACCGCGTCTACGGTCCATTGCCCGTGTGTGTTGGCGGCACCACGTAAGCAGGGTGGAAGTTAGACAGCGTGTCTTGGTACGAGAAAGCCACTCGCTCGAGGAGCTCGTCTCACTGCAACAACTGCAGTGGTTGGGACACTTATCGCGCATGCCTGTTCAGTGTTACCCGCCTCTTGCGTTGTTCGCGCTTGCTGGACAGGGCAGGCAAAGGCGGTCTGGTGGACAGCCTGCAGTTGAGGAAGCCGCATGAAAAAGCTGACGATACAGTTGGTCTCGGCCGCTGGTTGTCGACTACCTGGTTGGGCTTCGAGAGATGCGGATACTTGCTGGTAGAAGACTTTGGGATCCATGGTTCAAGATCGATGTTAGTGGCGAACGTGTGCATCGACATATTGCGGTGTCCCTCCTTCCTCCCTTAAAAAACAAACTGAAACATATTTCCAAAACGGTGAGTAGCAAACTGGAGAAAACAGCTTTGATTGTTATTTTTTGTTATTCATAACAGTAAAGTTTCCTCTGGAACTAATTGTTATACATAATATTTTCCCAGACAGCCAAGATTCCGATGACACAACATCTGCACCACGGATTATATATATATATATATATATATATATATATATATATATATATATATATATATAGTAAACCTCATAATCACTTAGCGTATCTTACATTTTAATCTTCTTCCCATACCAAGGCGGCGCTGCACTTGTGCACACCATGCAACGCAAGTGAACACCTTAACAAGTTGCAGTAACGGATCTGAAGCGGGTTATTCTTCATCTTTTATTCGTAAGGAGAAGATTGAATAGAAGTATTTCAGTGTCGTACCTCCCAACCCTGACATACCACGACTGACAGCTTCCTCCTGTTTTGGACTCCTCAGGTGGAGATAGTCTGAGCTGGGGTGGAAGTCGGAACGTAGTGGCACAAGTCTGATTTCTAGATTACTGGGTCACTGAGATCAGCGAGCAACGTTTGGCACAACAGAAGAGGACCGAGATCTCAATAGTGGTTTTGAGTCGCAATCCACTCAGATGGAGGGTTATCAAAAGAAGAGTGAATGTTTGTAATACAGTCAGCCGACAGTAGTGACTTGCACGGCGTCGCAATTTAAAATATTTTAGGAAACTTCGCTGAAATTTTTAAGCGGAGTCTTTTTTTAGACCTTGGAGTCTTGTAGCCGTACGTTATTTAATAACACGAGTTAAGCTTATTACATTTTCATGTCAAAATAGGGAGAGGAAACACCGAACTGAGAAATAATTGCTTGTCTTTAGGCTTTTAACTGCTCTTCTGTGGTTTTTTTACAAAGTTTGTTTTTTCTCGCTTCATTAATACAATTTATGGTCATCAACAAGACTGGCTGGTAGCCACTCCAGAAATGCTTCGCTTTTCGGTCTCTTATGCCGCTTCTAATACGATATAATAATCGCTGGTTGTAATCGTGCAGTACGGTGGATGTGCTGACATTTAGACGGCAGAATTTGACCTATATTCTAAAAAGGAAAGATGGTAGTTTGCTATCCCTCTTGATGTTGAATAAGCAAAAGCAACGCATAATCTGTCTAGAGCTGCAGGATCTTTCGAATTTGCAGATTCGTTGCTCATTCTCTGCGTTGCAGTTTCTAGACCAATTTAACCAACTGTTGACATATACAGTTGTCGCGAGTCGCTACATAAAACATAGTACATACCTCAATGGCTCATGCTGATTGGAAATAAGCAGAGCAAGAAAGCTAAAACAAAATCTGATCTTGAGTGGCATTTTTTACAATCATTCCCAGTCTGAGGTAGAATACGTAGTTTGTATGGGGCTCATAACCAGGATGCGATCTATTTATTTTTGCCCAATTATTATTACTTATGCTTTGTAATTATGCAAAAGGTGTTCGATGCTTTTTGTGACAGGCATAGTAGGCGGGAATGAACCGTGCTAACAAGCATTTTATTTTTCTATACAAGCACCACTAACTTGCATACGGTTTTCATATCGGTGACGAAATAGTCCTTTGTTAAATGACATAGTGAAGTGATTTTCTTGCACCTCCAACTAGTTTTCTACGGTACACCTCAGTTCTTTGTCAGAGGCCAAATACTTACCTTTTACATAACACTTGGAATCTGAAAAGGATGAGTCACCTGAGACCAGGTGAGGAGAATAGGCTGGATGAGGGCGTTCCTGAAAGCCACATTCATGGATAACTGTTTTTGGTATCTTCGCCCTGTTTGTTGATACCTTGTCGTGCAAAGCGAGGGACATGAGCTCCCAACAATGCTCTACGTTTTGCCCGAAATACAAACCCTTGGTTGTTGCAGAAACTCAGTTTAATGGATACCAGCAATGGGCATCTTGTGTGGCATCCAGTCAATTAAAAGTATACCATCATCATAACCATAGAAAAGCAAGCCCATGGGCTTGCCTGTATCTGGCTGGATGTTGAATTTCTTCGGCAATGTAGAATCCAGAAGCTTCTATTGATTGATTGTTCTTTTGTTTTAATATTGTAACAGTGGGTCCAAGACACATGTCCCGCCACTAATCGTTGCTTAACCTGGTCCCATTCTTTATGCATGGGTTCAAGATATTTCTCTGAAAATCGGACTAGACTTTTCTTAATTTCAAGAGTCTACTTAGCACCCGTCGCGCACACACCTTTGAAATAATCAAGTGTTCCTGATTAATTCTGTCAACGTGTACTAAACTAGTTCTAATTGTATGAGCTATATCACGCACTGTCGTTCGTCCATTTTCCATTATAATCTGCACCACAGCAGCAATGTTTGCTTCAGAGCTTGCCCTCAGAGGTCTCCCTGATCGTCTCTCAAATTATGGCGATGCTTTTCATCGGCGACCTTCACCATTCTGACATCTACCTGTGTCATACGAACGTGAGTGGTCTTGGTATACATTCATCAGGCGTTCATGGATTTCCTGCGGCTGGATGCTGTTTGTGGCTAAAAATGCTATGACAGCTTCGTCCTCTCACCGTTGGTTTTGTGCAGACATGGTAGGGTACCCCTGAAAGCTATAATCTAAAAAGTAAACGTGAGCAAATAGAAACTACGGACTAGGCAGAAATGATGGATCAGGAGTGCGCAAAAAGCAGACACATTCCGGCAGTTACAATCGCCATACTCCCTAGTCAGATTACAAGCTTATCATACACCCCTCGTACATGTCCGAAATACGGTTGCGATACATCCATTATAACCCCCAGATAATTATAGAGAAAGAAGTCTTTTGAAACCAGCTGGTTGTTGATTAAATTAGCAGGAGAAACTACCGGTGAGAATTATTTAAACGACATCCATCCGCCACCTTATCTCTTGTGCGGTTCCAAACGAGCGCGTTAGTAAGGGCAGTAGAAAACCGTTCATCAAGGATGGGGATTTGTCATCTAAGCCCCCGCACCTCCTCTTATATCATGGGTGTTCCTTAATATGGTCCTTATTCGGAAAGTGGGATTTGACTAAAAACAACAGCAGTCTAAAAGTCTACACTAACACAGCTTATAGAAACGGTAAATTCACCAATTTTCCCGAAATGATTCACAGGCTGATGGACCGTTGCACCTTAGATGATTGTGACGTTTCTCACCTCTGAATAGTTCTATGGTCTTCAGGTGTACTTTTGGTTTTTTTTGTATGCATCTAATGTAACAGCCACGAAAAACCAACCATTTTAGCTACGGCTGTAAAATACTCACCTCAATTTTCTGACAGAACTGTGAAGTCTATGCCTACCTGGTTGAACAGATCGCTCCGAAAGAGAAGAGGCCGTTCATGCATTCCACCAAGGTGAGTTCATCGTTGATAGTGAAGAAACATTGGTGCAAACCAGTCATAAAATTCGGTTAAAGCTAATGGTACTAAAATCAGCATGACAAACCTTGGCTTTGAATGGAATCTTGCTCTGAATAATTAAAGTAGTAACTATTCAAATAGGTGTGAGTTTTCAGTTGAACCTGTTACGCTCTTAACTGGGGGACCATCATATGTGCACAGAAACCGAACTATCATTCGCCATACCACTCTACGGCGTATGGCTGAGTTTGGCAGATATATTGTTCGGTTGCAGAATATTTGTGTTTGGCTGGAAGTACTCCTCTTAGGTCTGGTAACTCGTTGCCTCAAACAGTTACCGTCAGTGGTGTTCCAAAATGAGGTACTGGTTCGTAAACATTCGGCTCCAACGATAAGCTATGAATCAGAAGATAACAGATTTCAGGAGCACCTAATTTATATTCTATATGATGAGCACCAAGCTTAAATTTTAATCGCGGCTTTATGGTGATTGCAACAGCAAATGTCTGCGCATAAGTTAGTCGGCTATACTATTGATGTTAGGTGTCGATCAGACACACGGCTAAAACATGTTATAGCTTTGGAGCTTCGGGGTCTCGAGTATACAAACGACTGCACCTGTCACAAAAAGTTGTTCAGTTAATTACTCGGGACAAACTAAATTCGCATCGGCATTCCAAATTACTAAGGCACGCTTCAGATCTCCGTTACCAGCTGTGATGATGGTACTATTAGGACCCAACATTCAACCCATGTAAGTAACCCTTGCATAGTACCCTAAGTTGGGGGAGACTGAGTATTCTGAAAGGAAATACATGGTCCAGTTTTGACTACCACCTTGAAGGTGCGTGGAACACCTTTCCAAAATGACCGTATCATGGACTTAAATTGTTTAAAGATGGGACAGAAGTTTGGCGTTTATGAGTAAGGAAATCGTCAAGCTTTGGAGGGCTACTGAAGTTTTACGATGTAAACCAGGACGCAAAACCAGCTACTGTGAACTTATCTAGGTACAGCCTCCACCGTAAGAGAATCTGTGATGCGTATGCATTGTGGGTGGCACTTATGATGTAAATTGATTACAGAATGCACAGAATATGGAACGCCTTGTTCATTGTGTTCTATGTTTATTTCGGACTATTCTATCATAGGCAGTTACTCGGGAATATGCCCTCGTTGGTTACTAAAGCTCTGTCAACCTAGAGAGGAGGACAAAGCGGATTGAGGTGAGCGATACGAGTGGCGATAGGAAGAGGAATGGATTGTGTAGGTCACCTGTTTGGGCAAGGCCACAAACAGATGGTTTGCACGGAGTGAAGTGACTCGTTTGGGTGAATGGTAAAAAATCGATTGAAAACGGCGCAGTCATAATGATAAGATTACTTTCCTACGTATATATAATTGCAACTGTCCACACCATAGACATAGAACCTGTGGCCTATGAGTGACCATCTCCAATCAGCGTTCAGACTGCGTGCGTCTGTCTGTCCATCGATTACCCACTCACGAGTGGTTGGCTTCAGTTACGTAATCGATGCGCTGTACCTGTTCTGATTAGATTACACATTTGCACGCGGCCAGCGTCGTTCGGTTAAGAGCCATTATTGTGTTGCATGCTAGCGTTACTTCCGCATGCCTCGAACCACATATGTAGGGCCATCGAAAACCAAGGAATGAATGTGTATGATAAATACGAACTTCACTACGTGGAAAACGGACGGCGAAAAGTTTCTCGTGCTTTTCACATGTCATTTTATCTTTCTTTGTCTGTAATTATAGCGTTGACCAATAGAACCAATGCATACATTCACGTAACTCTTCTAATGTTCCCGACTCCTTGCCACAAACTCAAGGGTTTCCAACAAGCTGTGTTTTCATCTTTGTCACCCCAGCCCGAAGGACGTACGGAATCGACAACAGTTAGACTGAAAGTCAGCTCCTTGAGGTTTTATCACTATGTGATGGACTGACCACCGCGAGCTTTCTTCCAGTGTGGCCCTGCGCTGGCGAATAGAGCGTGCCGTGGTAAAAGCTCACACTGCTTTCGTAATATGTGACCCATCGATCTCAAAAGGCATAGCAGTATTAGCTTGTCGAGCGGGAGTCCTGTATTATCTAAGACGCGACGTCTAGCATCGTCGTTGCAAACGTGGTGTTCCCAACACAGGAGAGCTGTTCTCCGCAGAAACCCGCTATCGAAGGAAAAAATCCGACTGAAGTCATTTACAGAAATCGACCATGGCTCACTTCCGTACAATATCACAGCGTGAACACAGGCATTGGAGACCGTGCCCTTTACGCGGAGTAATAGGTCACGACGACACCACAGATGCCTCAAATCAGCGAAAGTTGATCGGGCTTTAGCAATACGCAGAGTAATCTCTCTACGTATGATGCCATCAGCAGAAACCCAGCTCCAAGCTTAGATGAAGGGATGCAACAGTTCAAGATGTGCGTCTTCAAGAATCAGCACTAGTACAGGTGGATTCTAATCCCATAGGTCATGCCATACTTAGTAGCTTTAACTGCCAAGCAGTTTAGAATGACCTGCATAATCTATGGGTCGTCACAGAGAAAGACAATATCACTAGCATAGTCTAAATCCGTCGCGCGGTTATCTGGAAGATCTTTGCTATAACGCTAGAGACAATCCAGAGCATTTAACAGCGCATACTTAATGGCAAAATTGAAGAGAAACGGGAACGTGGGGTATCCCAGTGGCAAACTGCTAGTGACGAGAGTGTACCGTAAGCCTTCACTCTGCTAATGACATTGCTTTATAATACTCGGAGAATGGCGGTGTACATTTCGCGTACCTCATTCTTTTGCGGACAATACCATAAAGCAGACCGATTGATTGGGTCGAACGCAGCTGGGATGTCCAAAAAAGCGACAGTGGCGAGCTGGCGTTGTAGGTGACACTGCTAGGGGAGTTGGCAGGGCGTAAACATGTGGTCCACACACCCTTAACAAGGAGGGAAACCAACCTGCTCTTCACCTGGGTGTGGGTCTCTAATCGGCGTTAGCCTGTGGCGTAGTATGGGTGTTGACCCTGTGGAGAAGAAGGATATTAGGCTGATTCCTATGTGTTTGGACGATAACATAAGCTTATCCTTTCTGAGGGCCGGTGTGGTGATCTTTCCTTCACACCAAATATTGGAGAACAGAGATCTTAACTGGTTGACTATAACATCGCCACCGTACTTGAACAGCTCCGGAGAAAGTCCATCTGGGCCAACAGCCTTGAATCGCTTTTAGTGACAAAGCTCAAGGCAAACCTTCGCTCTGGTAGGTTCTTCCACTGAAACAGTGGAACAGTGATTTATGACAGGTAAAAAAGCAAAGCCTTAACATATTCAGTAGGTTAGCAGTTGAAAATGCGCAAATTCGAATAATACATAGGTGGGTCAAATAAAGTACTCAACGGTAAAATGATAAAGTAATTCTATAACTGTCATGGGTTGTGGGGTAAGATAGCACAAGGTAAAACAGATGAACAAGTTGTTATGACTAATTCTTATGGCAAATAACAATCCGATTGTTCACCTGTCCCCACAGACTTACGTGCATAAATGTGGGTTTTCATTTCAAAGAATCTAATTAGCCTGAATATATCCTGGATATCCCTTCATATGACAAAGTGTAATGAGTTCAATGCAATATCCAATCATCCTTTCAAAATGGCTAAGGTGGGAGCACAAAAAGCTGAGGTTGGAAGGTCGTTCCAAAGTTGAGAGACACGGAGGGAGAAATAAGTTCGCCGACTATTTAGAGGACTGTAGCTTTTACTCAGTTTCAGGCCATCACCTCAGAGGTTAGAGTTCGGACTGAGTTTCAAAAGGTAGCGGCTACGTGACTGGTGTCGAGCAGTATTTGGTATACCAAGATGAGGTTTCCACTTAGCCGCTGGCCGCGCACCATGTACACTATGAGAATCCTCAGTAGTTCTTGGCACGGAAATTTACACAAACCCTTGGCAGTTTTCGCTGATCGACATTGCGGGGTCTCCAGCTCTACGAGGTTAAGCTTTAGCCAAGATTTCCAAGACTGTATAGCGTATTTGTAGTTGGGACGCACGTACACATTGAGCATCAGAGAGATGTATGAATCCAAACTCCCGAATTCCCTTCATAAGAGACCTATATCTTGGTTGTAACATTTGAAGCGGATTCCGAGTGTCTGGAACTATCGAGATCCTCCTGTACCAGCATATCGTGGCCATGTTCCTGGGAGGTGATCTTCATATCGGGCGCCCCAGCCTGCAGATGTAGGCGTGTCGATGGCGGATGTGGACAACGCGACCCTCGTTCACATTGAATGGCAGCGCGTTACTCACTGACCAAATTCAGGCCTCATCGAACTCGCGCTGGAGGCTTCGTGGCCGTCCAATCTCTTGATCGCCCGCCAAAGT